TCCTCCCCAGGCCCTCCTCCTCCCCCAGGCCCTCTTCCTCCCTCAGGCCCTCCTCTTCCCTCAGGTCTTTCTCCTCACTCAGGCCCTCCTCCTCCCTCAGATCCTCCTCCCCCCTCAGACCCCCCTCCTCCCTCAGGTCTTCCTCCTCCTTCAGGCCCTCCTCCTCCCTCAGGTCCTCCTGCCTCAGGCCCTCCTCCTCCCTTCGGCCCTCCAGAACCCCTCTGAAGGCAGCAGACTCAGATGGGGCTATAATTTAAAATACATTTATTTAGTGTCCATTTCGTTTCTGTTTTGTTACACAAAGCCATTAAATAAATACATTCTCCAAGTCACTCGAGTACACACCTACTCGCTATACAGATGAGGTAGAGAAATCGATAGGCTCGCACGAGGGTTCTCGTGTGTGAATGCCCCTCTCCCCCCAGCCTACCCGGACCTCCCAAACCGAGCCAGGAGTCCACATGTGTGTGGCTGGCAGGGAGCAGGTGGCCGGGACCCGCCTGGCCCTCAGCATGGCTGAGCCCTGTGGCCCGCCCCCTGCCCCGTCCCAGAGAGGCTGACCCCTGGGCACAGTTTCTTCTAGAGGCTCTCCTGCACGAAGAGCAGCACGCTGACCAGAGGCTCCATCAAGAGGAGTTCGCTTAGCAAGATATTCTGATATATGTTTATATATAAACAGACCAGCCAGCAGACGTTTTCAGTCTGCCTTGTTTAAAAAAATACTTCCCTTTATATTATGACATAGAGCTAAATGTGGTATCTGGTTAACAAAATATCCTTCCTCCGACTTGCTGCCTTTCCAGACCCAGAAGTGACTGAGCTCCAGTCTTGTCACAGGGGTGTGGCTGCACCCACTCTGGGCCCCTGGCCCCCACCCTCTCAGCATGCAGGCATTCACGGGATGTTCTCTGAACCACAGAATAGACTTCACTATTTACACTATAGAACAGGGACCAAGAGACCCACATCAACATAAATAGGTTTTCTTTTAAAAACACAGTCCCCAGGGTTCCTGGAGCCCACGGAACTCCAAGGAACCCCCTCACTCAGTAGTTCCTGTGTCTGCACTGCCACCCAGCTCTGTACCCACCCAGAGAACAGCCACAGAGCCTGAGCAGGGCAGGCCCAGAGCCAAAGGATCTAGGAGCCAAGGCTGCCATTCACACCAACGTGGGAAGGACAGCCTCATGCTGAGGGAGGGCACTGAGCGGAGGCCACGCCCCAGCTGACCACTGACCATGCCAACACAGCCAGAACAGGCACACACACCACAGATACATGTGGCTACACATTCACCCACATGCATGCATGCATGCACATCACACATGCACATGCACATCACACATATAGCACGCATGCGTAGCTATGTGCACATGCTCACACACACACAGCACAGATGCATGTGTCATACAAGCCCCCTGTGCTCACATGCACACTTCTGCAGACACATACATATGCTGACACAGTCTCATGCATGCACACACTTCAGACTTGCTCACGCATGTGCTCACACATATGCTCACGCATAAACCTGCAAGCGTGTTCACACATGCATGCACATAAATGCACACATACTTCATACACACGTGTGCTCGTGCACACGTATACACACAAAACCACTTATGCAAGCAGTACACTCTTGCACATATGCATGCATGTGCACACACACTCAAACCAAGCCAGGTCAGTGTAGCCCATCCATTTTCCTTCCCTGCAAAGACAACAGAGTGGCCAGAGAGAACAGCCTGCCTTTTGCCAAATCCTAGCCCCAGATTCTCTCCATCCACATGCGTCCTCACGTCTGCCTCCTCCCGCAGTAACACAAAGCAAGCTAGGAAATGAACCCTTCAAGGGGCTGGCCCCTCCCCTCTGCTGTGCCCACCCCTGGGGGGAGGGCAGGCCACCGGCTGCCACCCCAGGCCTTAAAACCTACACCAAAGTGGCTGGGGTGCGTGCCAAAGTCTCCCAGAGTGGGGTCCACCCACTTCCCAGGACAGTCTCACTGGGGGCAGCTGGGTATAGGGGCCTGGCTTCCAGAAGCCCTGAGGGCAGTGTCCACACACAACCTGCTTTATTACTTTAAAAACAACAACAGCAACATCCCTCTTGATTTAGTGGTTTCAAACGACAAAGCAGATCAGGCAAAGAGGTTAGGAGGGGGCGTAGAGGGGAGGGACGAAGGGGACCCTCCAGACTGGGCACCACCAAGAGGAGGGGGAGCCACAAGCCTGAGGCAGGGCAGGGATGGAAATAATAATTATTATATATTAGTTAAATAAAAATAATTTAACAGTCACCAACATCACTCCCAAGAGAAGTGCTCCATGTCAGAGGGGACAGCAGTGACCCCCGCGGCTGGGTGGCCGGGCTGTCTCTCTCCTAGTGGTTTGACTCTCTAAGCCAGTGCTGGAGCAGGACAGCCCACAGGCGGCCACACAGAGACCCTGTATGGCCGCGAAGGTGCACCCGGTGCTCCTCAGAGGGAGCCCAGAGCAGGGAAGGGTGCCGCTCGCAGGAACTGGCCTCTCAGGGACGGACACAGCTTGGAAAGCATGGTGCCACGCTCTCAGGTCATGGGGGTGGGGGTAGGGCGCGGACAGAGGGGATGCAGGGGCCAGACCAGGGCCACCTCCCGCCTCTGGGTCTTTGAGAGTACGGACAAAGAGGCAGGGACAGCAAACCCAACCAATCCCCGGGCTCTCATTACCATGTGCCAAGTGTGCTGGGGGCCCCATCCCAGGGACTCAGCCCTTGCAGTGTAGACCCCTCACACTGGGTGCACGGCCTCTTTCCCCTGCAGCAGCCTGGCCGGCCCCGGGGCTCAGCCCTTGCAGGTGTAGACCTCCTCACGCTGAGTGCACTGCCTGCACTCCACGTAGCAGCACCAGCGCACCTGGCACTGGCAGGGCCGTGTCACCACCCGGCTCTGGGTGTTGTGGCCACGCCCACAGCAGATGCTCTCGCAGTTCTTCTCCCGGTGGCACCTGCGGCCGGCAGTGCCCGGGGAGAAGCGGCTGGCCAAGCAGAAACTGGGCGAGTCGTCCAGGTGCACAAGCTCTGGCGTGCGGGGCAGCGGGTCGCTGCCTCCTGTCCCTGCAGCCCGGCCCCGAGGCGGCGAGATGGCGCCGGCCTCCCCGGTGGCCTCGTTGGTGGTGCTGCCCACCTTGAGTGCTGTCTCGTACTTGTGTTTCAGGCGCTTGCCCACCTCGTGGAAGGGTGCCAGCTGCCGCCAGCACGTCCGCACAGTACAGGAGCCCGACACGCCGTGGCACTTGCACGTGGTCTCCACCCCGGCCTTGATTACCTGGTAGGGGAGGGGGCTGAGCATGAGGGCCACACTGAGAGGCTGGGCACAGCCCCTGCAGATGACCCCCAGAGGGGCTCGACCACACAGCTCCCCCGGACCCAAGCCCAGCCTGGGGGACCACCACTACCCATCACCCAGGCTTCCTGGCTCTTGCACCTGTCCCTCCACCTCCAAGCCACAGATGTCCCCAGACAGAAGCCCTACATCCAGTACCATGGCCTCCAGAGTGGCCACTGCAGCACCTGTGGTACCGTGGAGACATTCCCTCCTTGCATCCAGGGCTCCCCTCTGAAGGGACTGAGCAAGCCTCCCCTCTAGCCCTGCTGTCAATGCCCCAACAGGACCCCCCAGTCTGGGCTCAGCAGCCTACTAGCCTAACTTCCTGGAGAAGTGAGGAGAAACGAGTTAGCTGGCCCAGTTGGCAGAACTGGCCCCCAGATCTTCCAGGTCAGCCCCAGAGGGGAGGGACAGTACCCCCACTTCCACACACACACACAGAGCTGCCCTAAGGGGCCTCCTGCCTGACCACCCACACAGGGGTCCCTGGCAGCAGAGAGCGGAGGAGGCCCTCTCTAGTGGGCCCCATCCCAGGATAGGCCTGAACTCCCATGCTGCCCTCAGGGAGGGCTGGCTGGCTTGAGGGGGATTAGGAAATGTGGCTGCCCTCTGGCCCGGCAATAGAAGAGTCACATTTAATGACACTCTGCTGAGAAACCTGGACAAATTTAATTAAAACGCTGCTTACCCAGGCCCGGCAGAGCTAATGGAGCACTTTCCATATTCTGACTTTTCATTAATAGCTTACAAAGGAGAGAATGCAAAAGAAAAGAAATAGCCTCGCCTTGGGGATTTAATCTGCCCACACCCCTCTGCAGAGGGCAGAAGGAGGGACAAGGGCTCCGAATAAAAAGGGGGAAATTGATTCTTTAATAAGTGCAAGACTCAGAAGTCTGGTTTCTCAATAAAGAGGGGCTCAGATCAGGGCTGGCTCTAATTACCTGGCCCCCTCCCAGGCTGGGGCTCCACATCCTGGGGGCTGCCTGGCGAGCACGCAGAGTCCCTGACCATCCCCAGGCCGGGCAGAGCCTCGGGGGGCCCTTGGTGGTCCGCATTGTGTGAGGACTAAGGGGACGGGGTGCTCTGTCTGCAGTGAAGCTGACAGCACTCATGCCTCCTCCTCTCGTGTAGGCCCAGGAGCTAAGGGGCTACAGGGAGGGTGAAGGATGGCCGGGAGCCAGGTACCCCCAGGTCCAGCCAGCCTGCAGCCAGCAGCCCCCAGAAGGGCCTAGCTAAAGACCTTACAAGTCTGTCCCCCGCCCCCTCCACAACAACCAGTATCTCCGTAAGAAAACGACACTCAAAGGTAAGGAGACTCCAGGGCCCCGGCTGGCACCACATGCCGGGAACACAGACCCGGAGGCGGCAATACTACACCTCCTCCTAGCCCCAGCCCTGTCCCCCACTTTTGCGGATCCGTGAGCACCCATGCCCCGCCCCCATGCTCTACCCCACCCATATGCTCCACCCCTTGCCCCCACCAAGTCTGTGCCTGGTCCCATGCCCTGCCCATACCTATGCTCCACCCCATACCCCTCGTCCCACCCTGTACCCCGCCCATGCCCACACCCTACCCCAAGTCCAGGCCTTTGGCCCCGCCCAGGCCTGTGCCTGGCCCCATGCCCCACCCTCACCCCGCCCCATGTCCATGCCCCCCCTCGCCCCGCCCATGCTTATGTCTGATTCCCATGCCCCGCCCACACCTATGCCCCTCCCCACATCCATGCCCCGCCCCGCACCCCGCCCATGCCCACTCCCCACCCCGAGTCCTCGCGCCTGGCCCCATGCCCTGCCCCGCGCCCCGCCCCGCTTGCCTTCACACCCACGAGGTTGTTGTGGAAGTCCACGCGGGCTCGCAGGTCCTTGCTTGAGCGGCGGCCCAGGAACTCCTTGACAAACTTGCTGCTGTACTTGAGGTTGTCCCCACAGCCGCCCCACTGCCAGGCCTCCCGGTTCTCCAGGTCGGGGGCCTCATCACACGTGCAGCGCTCCATGCGGCCCGCGCTACACGCCTTGGCCAGCGCATGCGTCAGGCCGGCAGAGGAGATGGCGTAGAGGAAGGCGGTCTCCTTGAAGCCTGTGGGGGCGCAGGGAGGGCGGATGGGTGAGCAGGCGGGAGCAACCCCCACCTCACTCAGGTGCTGCTGGAGCCCCGAATGCTAACAGCATGCGGGGTCTGCAGTCAGGATCCTTGCGGGTGCGCACCGCAGGTGGGGGGCATCCCTGCCTGGGCCGCCATGTGCCCCCGGGGGTACGAGGCGCTCCTATGTGCTCCAGGCACGTGATGTGTCGGGGTAGAGAGAATTCCAAGTGCATGGAGATTTAGGCTCTGCCCAGGGATCAGAGACTGCGTCTCTGACCCACCAGATTCTCCCCGGGACTTGGCGAGCCCTGCCCTGCCCCTCAGGTCCTCAGTTTTTAAACAAGGCTGTTGAAAGTCTCAGATCAGAGCGCAAGGAGAGAGGAGAAGGCAGGCTCCCTGTTCGGAGCACCAGCTGGACCTCTGCCCCTCATGCCCAGCCGCTGGGCCTTGGTCACCACCATGTGACAACAGCCATCAGAGCTGCCTTACGCCCTGTCAAAGCTGCCCAAATGCGCCCCGTGCTGCCAGCTACTGTTCCCCAGGAGGGGCGGGGCAGGAGGGAGGGGCCTGGCTGTTAGGGCAGTGTAGGGAGGAAGGTGGAGCTACAGGTGGGTGTGGTAGTGGGGGACAAGGGACCGGTCAGGATGTAGGGGTGGATGGAGCGGAGGACGAGCCACACAGAGCAACCCCATCTCCGCACCCTACCCCCAGGTGCCCTGGGACCCAGTGAAGGGACGATGTCCTAGGGGTGCAGACCTGCTCAGAAGGTCCTACCTCTAGTGCACTCACCTCGCTTGAGCAGGCTGGCCCGGTAGCGGCCCTCCAAGGTACAGTTCCAGCGCTCAAACCGGAACTGGTACTGGCATTCAAGTGCGCTCATGCTCACCGCCTCCACCAGTGTCTCGGCCACCCCCGGGTCTCTGCGGCACATGCGCCTTTGCTTGCGTTCCAGCTTCAGCCGGTCGCAGGCCTTGTAGTGTGCCTGGGCGGCGGCTTCCGGCTCCAGGGTAAGCGGGAGAATGGTCAGGGGCTCACTGCCCGTTAGCCTGGGTACAGAGATGCCACGGTGAGGGCCACGCCCGAGGCGAGAGACAGACAGACACACTCACACACACACACACGCACCTTCAGGCCAGCCCAGCACAGGGGTGGGCCAAGGGCGCAGATGGACAGGGCAGGGAGGGGTACAGGAGCCCAGGCCACAAGGGGACCACATCCGACACTCTGCCCCACCCACTCCTGTGTCTGCTTACCCAGTTGGAGCATGTACTGCTGCTCCAGGACCCCCACCCGCTGCCGCCCAAAGCTGCAGCGACTCAACCCCACAATGGCCCTGTGGCCTCTGGGAGAGGGTCCTGGCTCATTTCCTGCTCTCCTGCAGCCTGTACAGATGGCCCTGCAGGTCCCAGTAGGGTCTCCAGGAACTCCTGGGCCACTGAGGAGCTCCCGGTCGAACCCAGGGGAGGCCCAGAGCCGGCTCCTTGTTCCCCTGCAGCTCTGACCCTCTGATCTGAGCCAAGGCCCTGACCTTCAGAGTCAGCCACCTGTTCTCAGGTCCCCCCAACCCCCATTTCAGCTGTTCCACCCAGGGGCCGACTGGTCCTGACCTCCTGCCTGTTCTGTGCTCAGACACATCTCAATGTCCCCACACAGGTGATGCCACATCCGGGCTCTAGGCACACCCAGACCCTCAGCCCTCAGGAAGGAGAGGTGCCCAACTAGACATGGGTGGGGCTCCGGTCCTCTGACATGAGCATCACAAGAAACAAGCCTCTGCACCCCACTGACCCACAGGAGCCAGGGGCTCCAGTATTCTCAGACACTTACACCCCACATCATGTCCCATCCCTCTTACTGCTGCCCTTCAAAAGCCCCCTCAAGGGCATGGTGGCCACTGGCTGGCTCCTGGCAGCTTTCTGCAGGGTAAGGTGCTCAGGCAGGTGCTCCTAGAAGCTGGATGGACCCAGCAATGACACAGCAGGTCAGGCTCCTCTGGGGACAACCTAGGGTAATGACTTCCAAGGCCCCTCCCTTCCCCTGCCCTGCACACACCCCAGCATGGCCTCTCCTTGGCCCTGCCTGGGCTTGGGGGGCCAGAGTGTGCTGGGGGGATAGGCATGTACCCTGCCAAGGGCAGAGCCTGTACAGGGCAGAGTTGATCCTTGCCCTAAGGACCCCAGACCCACGTTCCTGACGGAGCAGCACCAGCCTTGCCCTTCCTGGTCAGCTCCCCAAGGGCAGGAGGCCAAGGTGCTGAGACTTGGGAACCAGGCCCAAAGGAGGCCCAGGCAGGAGCCCAGCAAGGCTGCAGGGATGCCAAAGCAGAGGGCATGGGGCACGGAGGGGAGTAGGCAGGCAGGTGGGAGAAAGGAATCCCTGCAAAAGACCCTGGAGGGTAAAGCCATGAAGGACACAGAGCGGGAAGAACCATCCTCTTCACACTCAGGTGCAGTGGGTGCAAGGGGCTGGCCAGCACCCTGGGAGGACACCCCAGGGTGTTCTGGGCTAGCATGGCACCAATGGGCTGCTGGGGCTGAGCCCTGAGCTGCAGCAGAGCCGGGCTACAAGTGTCCCAGAAGCCCAGGGTGTCGGTGAGCAGAGCCCAAGGCGTGTTCCCACCAGACTGAGTCCATACACATGTTGCACAGCACACGCCTGGGGACACTGAGCCAGGAGGACCAACTGGTGTGCTGTGACCAGTGAGAGTATGGGCTGGAGGAACCCCAAAGGTCCGCAAGGCACAGACAGGCCCCATGTGGGCAGCAAGGCCTCTGGGGAGAAGACACCTGTGAGCTTCAGCGACCTGCACCCCCAGTTCCCATCCTGGGGTCAGGGCATCCTGCCTCAGAGCATGGGGACATGGCAGGGGTCACTTCGTGCACTTCTAGGCCTCATGCCTGAGCTCAAGCGGCCCTGAGCACAAGGACAGCTGAGCTGGGCCAGGGCAGGCAGGGGCCCGGGGACCCCACACTGCAGAGTGGAAGAGCCACACTCCCCACACAAAGGCAGCTCACACGACGGAGACATGTCCCCAGACAGGAATGTAAACAGCTGTGCCCACAACGGCGTGCCGCCACACACCGGAAGGGCTGCAGCCTACAACCTGCACAGACCCCAGACTGGATTCTCCGAGATTAACCCAGCTCTAGGCTGGTGCCAAAATATGTCTGTGTCCAACAGGACCAACCACAGCAAGGCTGGCCCAGGGGTACCTGGGGCTGTGCTGGTGACAGCAGCTGTGGGTGTGGGGAGGGGGAGGGATGGCAAGTGAGCCCACCTCCCAGCCTGCCTTGGGGCGTCAGGGCCAGCCTGCATCCTCACCGTACGTTGGGGCTGAGGATGGGGTCCCCACACACACCCAGGGCAAGCCTGCGTCCTCACTGCATGTGTGGGGCTGAGGGCAGGGGTCCCCACACACACCTGGGGCAAGCCTACATGCATCCTCAATGCATGTGGGGGCTGAGTGCAGGGGTCCCCACAAACACCTGGGGCCTGCCTGAGTCCTCACTGCATGTGGGGGCTGAGGACAGGGTCCCCATACACACCTGGGGCCAGCCTGCGTCTTCACTGCACACGGGGCTGAGGGCGGGGGTCCACACACACACCCAGGGCCAGCCTGTGTCCTCACTGCACGTGGGAGCTGAGGGCAGGGGTCCCCACATACACATCCGGGGCCAGGCTGCGTCCTCACTGCACATGGGGGGGTTGAGGGAGGGGGTCCCCACACGTACCCAGGGCCAGACTGCGTCCTCACTGAGGTTGGCCTCTGCCTCAGGCCTCCTTAACTATTGGGGTGCACTCTGCTTGAGACCAGCCTGGGGCTGCAGTGGCAAGGGACAGACCCTCACAGAGGTGCCAGCAGGCAGACGGTACACGGGGTGCAGAGAACGGGGTGGGCATCAGTGAGCATGGACACCCAGGACAGAAGCCCAAACACGGAGGGGAACCCTCAGAAGTGCCAGACAAAAGGCAAGAGGGTCATAAAACACTCTTGGAACACGGAAGGCTCTTTTCCATGTGACCCAGAATCCAGAGGCCCAGAAAAACGGTTAAGTGTGAGAGGGTCTACCGTGCACAGCAGCAGAGTCCCGCATCAGGGGAGATCCTGCGAGCTGGATCCCAGACCAAGAGCCAACTGCCTTTCTGTGTGGAGGCGTGGGTGTGGACAGACCCCTTTCCTGCAGATCAGCAACCAAAGGAACCAGCTGAACATGGCCATGGGATGTGGCCACACAGTTCCAGGGTGGAGCGCATCTGTGAGAACTTGTACGTGGCTCCGCCCCACTCAGAAACACAGAGTAAAACCGCCCTGGTGTTATTTTCCAGTCATCAAAGGAGCACAGGTGAGGACCGTTGTGGACACCGGCAGGAAGAGGTCTTCCCCCCGTGGCTGGATTTCTGAACTCACATGTCTATGAAATTCACCCCATTCTCTTTCCAAAGGTGTCTCACTCACACGCTGCCCCAACACCCACTGTTGCATGAAAAGACCAGGGCCGGCTGAACAATGGGCCGTCCATGCCATGGAGTCTGCAGGCATCAGCAAGCCACAGCCCACAGCCCGTGCCCCCAGAGGGCCTGCACCCATGGGGAGCCCAGAGCAGAGGAGCCTGGGGACACATGCAGCTCACTCCTCTCTCCGCAGCCCAAGAGCTTGGCACACATGCAAGGGACAACGTGTGGGCTATTCAAGACCACACGACTCCACACACAACCGTCAGCCCTATGTGCTGGCCTCTTCCCACACACCCGTCTCTGGAGTCTGTACCTTCCAGGCCACAGAGCACTCCAGGCCCCGGCCCCACTGCCCACCCCACAACAGTGTACCTGCCTCCAGGCTCAATGCAGCTGCCCCCTGCCAGCAGGCATCCAGCCTGGCAGAGGCGGCCATGGAGGAGGTGAGGCTGGGCAGGCTGTCTGCAGGCAAGTGGCCTCCTGGGCAGGCAAGCAGCACCCCATCCCCGTCCTATCAGGCAAGCTCCTTCCAGTGCTGGGCTATCTCCCACCAGGAAATAAATCCTAAGGAGGTCTAAATGTCAGCAGGGCACTTGGTGACATTCAGGCATTTTCAAAGACATGATAACACACGGAAATGTTTCGCAGCCTCACACTGAGATCCCCCAAGTCCCTCCTGCCAAGTCAGAGGGGACCACGCTCCGATCCCCACGGTGACCTCGTCAGGCACTTTTTAGTGTCCTCCCAGACACTAACCCTCTTTACTGCACAACTTTCTTCTGTGTGTGCCATTTCCCCTATCTCATTTTGCAGGCCTGCCCCTCCTGTAATGTCCTGAACACCATCTCCTAAACGCAGGCACACCAGTGCTCTGTCCAAGCCGGGCAGGGCCAGCGGCCTTCTGCAGGCTCCTTGTTCTGGGCTCTGCCCTGGCCGGTGGTCACTGGGCTGGTGTTTTACTGGGACTGTGTCGGGAGCTCCTTCCAGCAGGTCCAGCAGGCATGTGCTGGCTCTGTGTTTGCACAGGACACTTGAGAACCCACTCGGCAAGGCTGACACGTGAGATGGGCTTGCTGGGGCACCCACAGCCTCTCCCTGCTGCTGCAGTCCGGGGGCCTACAGGTACTCCCGCCGAGGTCAGCCCTGTGCTGGCCAGTCCTGGATTCCAACAGAGGCACGACTGATCCGACGTCCAACTGGCCTTCGGTGCACAAGCCACGTGCGCTGATTCATCTCTGATGGTTTTCACCTCTGTGTATGGTCGTGTGGTCTACAGAGAGACGAGGCTGCTGGCTTTCTTTTTCTATCCTCAGCCATCCTTCCTGCCTTCTGGCCACGGTGCAGAATCTGCCAACTGCCATGCAGGGCCCAGAGCCCCCCCCCACCCCAGCTCTGTGGCCACCCACCAGCATAGAGCCATTCAGGGCACCTGTGTTCAGGTGTGGCCCCAAGGTGAGAGAGACCCACGGGCACCAGTGCCAGGAAGCGGGGACCTTCCCCACCGCTCACCCCATCTACATGCCCAAATTCACATCTCTGCCACCTCAGTGCCAGGAAGTGGGGACCCTCCCCCCACTCACCCTGTCTACACACCCAAACTTGCATCTCTACCACCCAGACCTGGCTCTCCGGAGACGCGGACACCCTACAGGTGGTTAGAGCATCAGAGGCCAAAGCCAGGGAACCTACCTGTCTGTGGAGCCAGCACTCTATTGCGGCAGCACAGAAACGCTCCCTTCCCACCCAAGGGTCTGTGAGGACAGCGGGCCTCCCTGTCTGTGTCCTGGTTCTCAGAAGGAAGCCCTGGCCATTTCCGTGACCAGCATGGCAAGTTCGTCGGGTATCCCCTGGGCGCCCAGCTCAGGTTAAAGAAGACCCCTCAGCCGTTCATTTGCTACAAGCTGCTCAAAACTCATAAAAGGATGTCAAGTGTCCTCAAATGTGGTCCCTGCATCTGTTGGCATGTGATTTTTCTGCTAAAACAGGAATGCCACTAACTGGATTTTCCAATGCTGGCCGTGCAGCGCGCCTCAGATGAAATGGGTTTTGTCCTTCCTCTGTGTTGTGAGCTGTACCTTAAGGATGTCGGGTCTAGGCCGTTTGCATCTGTGTTTGTAATTTTCTCTTCCATTCTCTTCCCACTGGGTCTCAGTGCCTTAGCAAAGCGCTCACTGTCTCAGTTTCCCAGAAGATGAGTCAGATCAAAATCACATCTTCTTAACTGTTTGGCAGGACTGGACTTTTCTGGATGAAAAGATCTCCCTGCTGATCCAATTACTTTTCTTTTTTTTTCCTCTCCTCTTTTCCAAACAGTTTTATTGAGATACAACTTGCATACCACAAAATTCACCCATTTAAGTCCACAATTCAGTGTTTTGCTGCATTTTCACAGATGCATGCAAACACGGCCAGTCGATTTCAGGGCATTTCATTGGCTCAGAGATAAACCTATTCTTCTGCACCTGGCCACCACTAATGTACTTTGTGTCTGTGGATCAGCCTGTCCTGGACGTTTCAGACAAATACGGTAGGTGGCCTTTGGTGACAGGGCTCCTGTGCTGACAGCATGTCCATGTTGCTGTGTGTCACCATATGGACAGACCGCATTGTGCTCACCTGTCCTTGGGCGGTGGACTTGAGTCATCCACCCTTTCGCCGTCATGCGCAAGCCACCGCTGCCCCTCCCGTGCACGTCTGTGCGTGGACGCTGGTGTCCACCAAGGAGCAGAAGTGCTAGTCACCATTGTTGAGGGAACTGTCAGATCGTGACCACTAACCCGCTTCCCTACTCACAACAGACTCAGTATTTCTCTGTCTCGAGTCTGTTTCTGTTACTCCTCTGGTTTTCTGCGTTGCCTCAGAATTTGCAGCCTGGTTGGCAGGAAAGCGCTCAGTATCCCCTACTCTTGTCTGCAGAATCTGTAGCGATTTCCCAGCAGCAATTCCCAGAGAGGGACCCTTCATCTCTAATGCACAGTTGGTACTTTGTTGGTTTTCGCACGGCTTCTGTTTTCTTCCTTCTGCCATGTTTGGCTTTAGCTTACTGTTCTTTTCCTCAAATCTGTGACCAACCACTGCTGACCGCATCCAGGCTTCTCTCCACTTCTGCACCTCCTGCTTCAGAATCAGGTCACCATGCAGACAGAGCCTGGGTCACAGCCCAAAGACCGTGTACAGCCCTAATCACAGCCCCAGTCATAGGCCAGGTCACCATGCAGAGCCTGGGTCATAGACCAGGTCACTGTGCAGAGCCTGGGTCACAGCCTGGAAACTATGCAGAGGCTGGGTCACAGCCAGGTCACTGTGCAGAGCCTGGATCACAGCCCAAAACACCATGCAGACCCTGGGTCACAGCCTGGAGACTATGCAGAGCCTGGGTCACAGCCCAGATCACTGTGCAGAGCCTGGGTCACAGCCCAGATCACTGTGCAGAGCCTGGATCACAGCCCAAAACACCATGCAGACCCTGGGTCACAGCCTGGAGACTATGCAGAGCCTGGGTCACAGCCCAGATCACTGTGCAGAGCCTGGAACACAGCCCAGATCACCATGCATACCCTGGTCACATCCTGGAAACTATGCAGAGCCTGGATCACAGTCAGGTCACTGTGCAGAACCTGGATCACAGCCCAGATCAGTATGCAGACCCTGGGTCACAGCCTGAGACTATGCAGAGCCTGGGTCACAGCCCAGGTCACGGTGCATCAGCCTGGATCACAGCCTGGAGACTATGTGGAGCCTGGGTCACAGCCAAGGTCACTAGGCAGATCCTGAGCCACAGCCTAGAGACTATGCAGAGCCTGGATCACAGCCCTGGTCACTGTGCAGACCCTGGGTCACAGCCTGGAGACTATGCAGAGTCACCATGCAGAGCCTGGGTCACAGTGAAACTCCCTCAAGGTCCACTGAGGTGGTGTGTTCTCTCCCTGACCTCCTACGTTCTCTATGCTTACATCCTGTCCTGTCGCAGAGCCAGTGATCAGACCAAGGCCCTGGCTAGGACCCCGGTCTCCTCAGCCACACGGCTGGTATTTCCTCCACAGATCCGCCCCATTTCACTTTGTCTCCTCTCCTGCCTCCTTTCCAGTTACTCCTTGATAACCCATCTCCCCCTGGTGATTTGAACCTTCATGTTGCATTGCCGCTATTTCACAGCCACCCTCACAACTGCACACGTCTGTGGCTTAGTCACATCCAGTGGTGGGCAATACCAGGCCTGAGGACACAAGCCTGTGAACCCCACTCCCAAATTACAGGCCGTCGTGTATTTTAGTTCCACTGTGAGGACCCAACAGGATGCTGGACACTCCTCGGCTCCTGGACAGTGGCCTTCTGAGCATCTTGCAGCTTGTCTGTAAAGGTCTGTATTTCACTTCCCTGGGCAAGTCCCCAGCCTGCCATGCACTGTGTGCGTTTCTGCTCTGAGGTTCACCACCAGGCTGACCAGCCTCCCACAGTATCTGCATCTGTTGGCCCAGGCTGCTTTTATGGTTCCTTGTCTTGGGTGTTTTATGCTTCCAGTTCATGTTCTGGAAGCATTTTTGTTTTCTCTGTTTAGGACGACTTGGGGCCTCCTGAATCCTGCACGTGACCCTGACAAATTCTGAGACTTGGAAAATGCTCCGCCATTCTCTGCAAACAGGACCCCTGGCCGCCCAGTCCCTGAATCCGGCCTCTGGCCTCTGGTTCTCCGCATTTCTGCCAACACAGGCCACACTCCACATGAGTCTCCTGCCCCATCATCTGCCTTACTGGCTCTCTTCAGCTATTTCAAATCCGCTTTCAACGACGTACACCTTCCCCCCAGTCCCATTTGGTTTCTCCAAACCTGCTGGATCAGTTTTTGCGGTTTCTTACTCCTTGTGGATACTCCAAGGTTATCTCCTCCCTGGAAGCATGCTGAGAGCTCCCATTCGGCCTGTGACACTCCACTCTGGGTCCGCTGCCAGAGCTGGGGAGGCCCACAGAGAAAGGCACCTCCACACATGCCTGCCCCGCTACCCCTGGCCTATGCTGCTCACCGTACATGACAGACAGAGGGCACATGTCCCCAAGTTCACATCTGCTGGGACCTTGACATGTGCTTTTTTTGGAATAAGCGCCTTAGTAGATGTAATGAAGGTTAGGGTCTTGAGACAAGGCCTCCCTACACTGGGTTTTGTGCTGTTGAGGGCCCCTCGTCCTGATCAGCCTGCAGTGACACCAAGGAGACCCCACCCTAGTCCCAGCAGGCCTAGAAAGAACCCAGGACAGACACAGCTAAGTCTAGGAGCCTGTCCCCTTCCGAGGAGGGGCCTGAGACTGGCATGCTGGCGGCCTGGGGATGGGGCCACCCCTCTGAGCACCTAGCTGGTCACACACTCCCAAACCTGCCCCCTCGGGCAGCCAGGGGGCAGGGCGGCACTGCCAGCAAGGAATGGGGGATGTCCCTGTCCTCAGCAGGAGCCGGCAGCTGGTCGGTCCCCAGAGTGCTTGCTTCCTCCAGCTCTGAGGCCAGGCGGATTCCAATGGCCCTTCCTCCTGCCAGCAGGCCCGGCCACCCCAAGGGCCACCCTGCCCACAAACCCAGCTCCCAGGGCTGGGCGGAGGGAGAAGAGGCCGGAGTTCCAGAAGCCACAGCGCGCTGCCAAGGAACCTCAGCCCCACCAGACAGCGTTTAATTTCTGTGCGAATCGAATTCAAAACAAATTCCAATGTGGAGAAACTGGTTCTGAGATTAACCCTCCATCCTCCCGGGGCCTGCAGCCTGACTCGGCCCTGCGTGGGGGATGTGGGGGTGCGTTGGGGTGGGTGCAGACACCAACAGAGCCGGGGGCTCCCTGCAGCCTGACTCGGCCCTGCGCAGGGGACATGGGGACATGGTGGGGTGGGTGCAGACACCACCAGAGCCAGGGGGCTCCCTGCAGCTTGACTCGGCCATCTGATGCCCAGGCCCACCAAGGAGGAGGCAGGGGCCACAGGCCATGGTAACCAGAGCAGGAGCGTGGCGAGCACCCTTGTGTTTATGACAGCTGTCACCTCTATGAGAGCTGCCGACACTCTACTTCCCCACATTCCAGGGCACCCCCTCTCCACTCCCTTGTCAACAGGCTGTGTCCACACAGGGGTGATGAGAATGCATAGTGGATGCTCCCAGCCCAGGGGGACACAGGACTCAGCAAACTCCACTGCACAAGGCCTGGGGTCCCTGAGCCCAACAGAAATGTCCCTGTCCGCCCTCAGCAACCGCCAGGACAAGCAGAGCCCCTGGGACCCCAGGCCCTGAAGGCCACCAGTCAGCTGGCCTCTTAGGCCGCCGGCCAGCAGGGCAGGCTATGGGCACCCAGGAGAGCAACTGAGGCCGTCCAGGACCCA